AGCACTTTTCAACATTATAATACTGCTTCATTTAATCACTGATCAACCATTCAACAAATATCAAGCAGATAACTCTCATTGTTCATACGGTGCTGTAAACACAAAGATGACTATGACATACTTCGTCATAGGGGAGCTCACAGTTTTATGGGGTAGGCAGTAAGATTAGTGATAACACTAATAAAGTTAGTGATAACACTTTATAAAGTGCTATGGGACCACAGTGGAAGAAGCAGCTTAATGATGACCAGGAGTATGAAAGAAACATCACAGAGTAGTTGACAGGCAAGCCAAATCTTCAAGGAATAGTTTGCCATGAAGAAAATAAAGGTGTTCAAAGACAAGAGAACAGCATATATAAACACAGAAGTATAGACAATCAGGTGTGTGCAGAAAATGGCAAGTAGTTCCATATTATAGTAAAACAAGACATATTTAGATGAAGAGAGAGGAAAAGAAGTATGATGTCAAGGACCAAGAATAAACAGAGCCTTGTTCTTGCCTTGAATCCCATTATGAGGGGTGGAAGATTGAGAACCATGCTCTGGATCACGAGTGTGGTCATAATCTACTTTTAATTGCCCGTGCATCACATAGAAGCCACAGAGGTATGTATATGAGATCAAGGACTATGCTAAAATGAAAAAGGCTTTTAAGAGAAGTAAATAGCAAATATACTACTTTTGAGATCTCTAGTCTAGCTGTCTCTCCTTTGTACCACAGGTACTATTAAATATATAGTATACAATCTGAAATGCAGAGTCTACCGGCCATTGTTGATGTCTACTCAAGAAAAAAAAACATACCTTGCCATACATGGTCTTAAAAGCTGCTTTAATTTTTTGCCTCTGATCATTGGAACGGTTGGCCACAACATCCACAATTGCTTGCTCGTCTGTCCCTGGAAGAACCAAACACATTTAATTAAGGACAAAGTCTGTGTCCTGGGTGCTCCTTGTGGTCACCTCTTAATGCTTACAAGGCACTAAGCATTAGATTAAATTGAGGCGTGTACACCAAGGATGATGTATAAACTTAGTTTATAATATAAGGCTCTGTAACCAGCTCCACAAGCAAGAAAAGTTTTGATAGTTCTTTTGTAGTTCTTATTTTTAAGTTTCCAGACCATTTAGATTTGCTAACCAGAAGTTTATAACTTTCTGTTACACTGTTGCAACAGCAGAACCTCCCTGTAGCCATAAAATAACTACAAAGCTTTATACCACTTGTTTGTATGGAGAAGACAAGTGACATCCCACCACAAATTGTGTCCAAAGACCCGCTGAGCAGCTACTCCCTGCAATCTGCGTATGTACAAGAATGATTAATATTAACTACTAGCCCATACTAAAATTCCTGCCCTAGGAAGGACTTATTCACCATTTTTTAATCATGGAATATACATAATTTTATATATATATATATAGGTCTGATAATTAATTTCGTGAACTTGCCACCTGTGCTTACGTTGGCAGCACGGTATAAACAACTTGGTAAAGTTTCATAACCTTGGTACATCAGGGTCTCAACAACTGTGTTCGTGTGGACATGTGGCAGTGTTTTGCTGAACAGAGTTCATTATTGTGTCTTTTTTTGTGCCAGCTCAAGATGTCAGAGCTTGAATTATAGCAATGAGCAAATATTAAGTTTCTTGTTAAACTTGGCAAGAGGAGTAATCACTCTGTGATTCTCCCCACACATATATTTGGAAATATTCATTTCTCTCAAAAAACAAAACAAAACAAAACTTGGCAAGACTAGAAGTGAAATCAGGGAAGTGGTAGTCTACATTTATGGGGATATTGCCATAAATAAAATGGATTAAATGTTTTTCTGAAGCATCACTGATGAAGAGAGGTCAGGGTAGCCAGTAACAAATAGAACTGATTTAAACATGGCAAAAATTTGTTGAATTGTGTGTCAAAATTGCATGTCAATGAAGCAACAGGAAAACCCTCAACTAAGAATCTTGGCCAAAAACTCATGGCTTGGCTCAGTGCCTGTAACTCAGTGGATAGGGCATTGGCCACATACACCAGGGTGGGCAGGTTTGAACCCGGCCCCAGCCTGATAAACAACAACGACAACAACAACAAAACAGCCAGGCTTGTGGTGGACAGCATAGTCCCAATTACTTGGGAGGCTGAGGCAAGAGAATTGCTTAAGCCCAAGAGTTTGAGGTTGCTGTGAGCTGTGATGCCAAGGCACTCTACCAAGGGCAACACAGTGAAACAAACAAAACAAAACAAAAAAATTCATAGCTCTTGCATCACGACAATGCACCTCACATGGCACCGTCTGAGGGAGTTTTTAGCTGGTAAACAAGTAACTATATTGGAACACCCCTCCCCATTTGCCTAATCAGGCCCCCAATGACTTTTTTCTTACCCAAAGATAAAGGACTGAAAGGAAGACATTTTGATGACATTCAAAGATTGATAGCCCTTCCAGAAAAAGAGTTCCAAAATTGCTATTAAGGGTAGACTAGGCAGTGGCATTACTGCATAGCTTCCCAAGGAGAGTACTTCAAAGGTGGTCATAGTGATATTTAGCAGTGAGGTATGTAGGATGAACTTAAACTATGAGAATTCATATTTATCAGCATGATTTATCACTGTACTTGCATGCCCTGCACTCTGCCCCAAATATGTAATGATGCTTAATCCCTTTGTGCATTTCACCTCCAGAAAAACCCAACCCCATTGGTCAAGAAGGTAGATTTGAGACAGTCCCTTTTTCCCACCTCCTAATTGATGCTTCCTCTGGGGTAAATCTTTCTTCTTTGACTATTGTCATCTGGCTTTCTGTGCAGTGAGCAACAGAGAACTCACCCTTGTGGGTTACCAGTTTATTTTTACTTTAGAATCAATCACTTTTAAGTTATTGTAAAAAACAGAAATCTATTTTCCTTACCAAAACCCTTCATTGCTTTACGGAGAATTTCTGCATCTCTCATAGCATCAAAGTTGGCAGCTGGTCTGACTGTTCCTTGAGTGCCCTGAGTCATCGCAGCAGGCTGAGAATAAAGGGCATAAAATCTAAGTTAGACTTTCCAAGAAGTTTCTAATAACGAAACTGCAAAGACTTCCCCAGACACCACTCTTAGGAAAGGCTAGTCTTTGGGTTTTAGAACAAGGATATAAGAATTTCATTACGAGGGCTCACTTTGGAATAAATAGGAAAGACCTATCTCCCTTCAGACAGATTTTTCTCCTGCCAACGGATAACTATACA